TGCTGCACACGAGGATGGAGTCTCTCTCTCTCTCTCTCTCTCGACAAGGTCCAGGCTCAACTCCTGGCTCTGCCACAGGCTTGCTTAGTTAAACCCACACAGCCTAGTTATTGCACTTAGCCAGGGTCTCTGTTGCCTGCTTTAAAATAGTCAACAATTCTACACTGCCAACTACAAACATCCACAGGAACGTCTGAATAAAAAAAACCACTGCAGCAGTTGTTCTCAGATGAGGACGGGAACTGAAAAAATGCAGCAGGCAGTAAAATGTACCATAAGGGTCTACGAGCCTGGCAGAAGTCACTTGTGTGCAATAAAATGTATGAGACCAAGCTCACAACTGTGCAGCTGCAGTGAGGGGACATGATGGATATAGGTAGGAGGCAGGTCCCCAATGTCCCCTGACACCCTATTCGATACACACAGCAGAGCGAAAGTGACCGTCCATCAGCACCACACCCAAAATGGGCTGCTTTCTTCCATACGTTTCTGCACCTCTGTGCAGACGGGTCACATCACGTTGACACCTGCACAAAACTCACCCCTCACAACCTATTTCCTCAGCTGACAAGAAGCAGAAGCGAGGTCTTATCTCCTCGGTGGGCACAACTCTGGCTGGTGCGCAGGGAGGCTGGCGGCTGTGGTTACACATCTGCACCCAGGCCAGCTCCGCAGGTTTTATCTCCATCCACTTCAGGGCTATGCACCTTTCAACACCCTCAGTGTTGAATAACTTCATGCCCCCAAGCACCATAAACTTCTACAACCACAATAACTCACAGACGGGTATGGATGGTTATAAAATCATGTCCTAAATTAGGACAGCAAGAAGCTGATATTGGAAGAGTAGGAGGAAGTCAAGAAATCCCAGGAGAAGATGATAGGTGAGGGATTTAGTCTCTTTAGAAAACAATAATGCCGTTTAATCTATTTTTCTTTTGACTTTACACACTAAAATAAGCTTCTCGGCTTCTGGGGCTGTCACAAATCATAAGGAAAATAAGGCCACTGGAACCCCATCAGTAGAATAAAAGCTATATAGTAATAATCCTGAGGAGCTGCGCGGGGCTTTCCATCTTCAAAGTATTTTATAGACAGTAATTTATTAATCTGCAAATTTCCCCTGGCCATAAGTAACTGCTCTGCCTCTTTGCTAAGCACAAGAGACATGCAGTGCAGATCGGCCCTCGGGAGAGATGGTGCAGGCAGCAGCTCTGATCTCTGGAGCCGGACCTCGGTTTCTGGCTCACTGCAGTTGGACCTTTGCTGCTCCAGCCACCGCCTGAATTCAGAAGCACTGGTGATGTCTGGCGCTTTGGAGCCAACTTCAGAGGGGACAAAACCAGTGCCTGAGAGCCTCTGGTATGGGGGAGTGTAAGAGACATACTCAGAACCCAGGAAATAACAGCAAAGCCTGAAATAAAACTCCCAAGACAGAAGCTCCTGGCTGCTTTACAGCAGGGTGGTGTCACTCTGGGCAGAAGCTGGCCCCAGTCCTGGGCTCATCCTACCCCGCAGCCCACCTGATAGCTCCCAGGGGAGCTGTCAGTGGATTTTCCTATGCACACATGATGCTTCCTCCCACCAAAGGACTATTTATGCACAGCAGTTACCTGTTCACACTAGGTGGGTCCTTTAGATAATCAGCATGCAGCTGCTCCTCCTCTCCTGGCAGCAATATTCTTCTGCTTTTCTAATTCCCCAAGACAATACTCCTAACCATGATTCTCCCCCCAGCCCTCGCCCTGCAAAAGCTGGGAGCTCTTGGAAAATGAGAAAGCAACCTGATTAGCAGAGAGGGAAAAATGGAACAAGGCGCACAACTACAGCTACATCTTCTAAATAAGTCAGTATCTAACATAGGCCAGCTTTGTTTGGAAACAAGATAATGTTATTCCGTATTCATACTGGCTGTTATGTTCTTTGTCCGATTGGTTTTTCACCTCTTTTAAGCCAGTGTATATTTATATGACTTCAGTAGCACCAAAGAAATCATTGTAAGACCAAAACTGGGTTCATCATTTCTTGCTATCCTTCTCTGGATATCAGAGCATCTGGGTTCATTAAGCACCCTACAACACAAGTGCAGAGATCTAAGCCTTATTTCCATCTTAAGGATGGTTTAGCTGAGGCGAGGAAAGCGGAAGACCCCAAGTACCATTGCAAACAATGTCCCAAAGGTCACGAGTAAGGAATTCAAACCCAGGCACTGCAGATCATGTATATTCTCAAGATCAGAAGAGATTTGCCCACGCATACAGCATGAGTGAGTAGCAGACTCAGGCACAAATTCAGTCTCAGACTCCAAGTCTTTTACTCTACACTACTCAGATCGCATTTCTTTCCTCTTCCAGCTTGCGGCTCCCTTTCAGCAAATGATTTTGTTTCAGCACCAGCCTCCATACACAGCAGAAACAGCAGAGCCCAAAGAACGGATGTTTAGAGCCACAGTGCGGTTGGCAAAATTTTTGGAGGGAGAAAAAAAGAGTTTGCAGATTTCTCTCTCCAGTAAGAAGTAGGGTGAAGTACAACGCTGAAGCTTTCTAACACACTGCCAGGGAGCCTGTCAGCCATGCTGGCTGAACTGGATGGAAAGGCTGCCTGCATTATAGGCAGAGCAGTGCTGGTGTTTTATAGCTGAAATTTAGTAAATGTTTGCTCTTCATCCCCTCTGTAAGCTCAGAGAGCTCAGGACTCAGCAGAGCCGGTACCCCTGGCTTGGGGCAGTCTGGTCTGCGCTGACTATGCTGCTCCCCTGGGAAGGGCCACAGAGGCAGGCAGGAAAAGCAGCAGCAAACCACAACAGAACTCCTGCCCCTGCCTCCAGCCTTCTCCAGCCCGCAGCCATGACCATTATAGCAAAGCACAAAAAAAAGATCCAGCTGAAATGACAAATCCCTACCAAGTTATACACCTTAAATATCCCAGGAGCTAGATTCCCCAGTGAGAGCGACCCATCTCCATGGCCTTGCTTGGTGTTAGGAGACCACTGGTGAAGCTGCAGGCTGTGCACAGCCCTTCTGCATTCACTCCGGACAGCCTCCGCTCTGCTCCCCTCACCTACGCTCTCCGCTCCGAGAAGAAAAAGCAAGCCCAAATGCTGTAACATTATCAGAGCATATCCAGTCTCCCACACTGGTCTGTGTTTACGACTTTGCAAGGGTGAAACGAGCTCCAGTTGCCTTTTGGTGCCAGTCCCAGGAAACCCCACAGTGTAACAGAGGGTTGCACAGACGGCTGCCCCTCCGTCCAAGTACAAACAGCCATACAAGCTCATATAGAACAACAAAAGATAAAAGTGGTTTATGATGTCCACGGAAAAAAAAGGGAGCTCTGAACTGAAGAGTGAGTCTGTCACCCACAGATCTGCAGAGAATTAAGCTCACTACAGTGGATTTGCAGAAGAAATGTATTTTAACCGATCATGTGTCCCATGCATCACCCTTTGACACTTATGTTCTTGCAGCACTCTACAAGGGCTTTAACCATCTTGTACAGAAAACCTCTGCTAAAGGAGGAATATTTAAAAAGCACCAAATACCTTGCAGAAATGCATGGAGGGTTCTGCCAGATCAACTGGCAGGAGCCTGCATGACCCAAACGCCAGGGTGCCATTTCACAGCTCCCAGCTGACAGCCTCAGCTTTTAGAGTTGCTCTAACATTTCCTGGGCAATCCTGATTCAATTGCACCTACCTCCCATTTCTGAAAAAGCCCAAGATGACTGCACGTGGGGTGTCGTAACGCTGCCTCAGCAGGAGGAGGATATTGCGTTGGTGGAGAGCAGAACAGCACGTCCAGAAGCACACGCAAAGCAGGGATTTTCCCAGCGAGCAGCGGCGATCCGCGTTGCTGGGTCCCTTCTTCCCCACGCACTCCTACTACCTAGGCCTTAGCGGGGGAGACCTGGGCCATATATTCTTTCTCCTTTGCTGTTTCCCCATTGCTCACCACTTCCACCAGGCCCCCATTAGCCAGGATGGGACATCCCCTACTGAAGACTACAGCCTATTGTGAATGCCGGCAGCCCTTGGGCAACCCAAGGAGAAAAGCCTCCCAGCCTGCAGCCTCTGCGATGAACCCTGCACTGAGATGAACCTTGCTGAGGTGCATGTTGTGAATCTGGCCCCGATAATTCAGCGTGGTCCAAGAGATAATGATACAAGAGCTGTTCATCTTCTCAGGGTATTATAACTGCTCGTTTGCCAGCGCTGCGGAGGGGCAAGGGCTCATGGGGGGGACTTGTCAATCCCCTGCACAGTCCTTTTTTCTGAACATTTCCCCCTATAAAGCCAGCGCCTGTTCTTTCCTCCCTCCCCCTTTCCACTCGCCTCCTGCAAATCATGCTGTCTCCTTCCACCCCCAAATAGGAAGTCCGGAGCAGAGATGCACACAATCTGCCTCTTCACAAGAGCTGGGCTGAACGTGTGCCAGAGGAGCTGCGAGCATGACAACATATTTCCTGTCAGAAAAGTGACTCAGTGAGACGGGTATGAGAGCTCCTCTTACTCAAGAAGTTCCCCTCTCCCTTTGCGTTGCTGAGGCATGAGTCAGAATCCAAGAGCTGGAATTTCAACCCCCTCCGGATCCAACCAGGAATAGCAGAGTTCAGGTTCAAGCCCGGGTCCTGCTTGCAACTCAGTAACAAGTTAAAGCCATGTGCCAAGCCCTGGTTTCACCCCTTGCAGAAGGGGAATAACAATACTGATCAAGTGGGCTGCTTGAATTTGCAAAGCACTTTTAGGTTGAGATGATGCTTATTGCTATTTGCTTATGCACACTTCACGCCATGCTCGTAGCCTCTATACGTGAGCATTATACAATACCCACACAGAACTAATGTCCTGTTCATGCATTTTGCCAAAGTATTTCACACACGACCATTTCATCCAGGAATACTGTAAATGCTTAAAAATCCCTGCAGCCAGTTTTCTTTCTCCAGCCTCAGATCAGCTCTTCCCCATGATAAGCGGGCAGACCCATCGCATGCCACGTCCTTACCGGAGCCGCTGCCGAGGGTGACCATGCACAACCAGAGCGTAACCAGCAGGGCACCAACCATCTTCATCCTGCTGAGACAAAGCACACACAGAGGTTCTGGTTATTTTACAGTATTTCATCACTGCAGACAATTTTTTTAACTCTGAGTGTATGTGTTTATTCCTCTGCCCACCCAATGATCCTTTAATTCTGGTATGTTCTTTTGTTTTTTATTTCATTAAGATTCCTTAAGAAAAGCACCTGTATGGCAGCGTTGTCCTGCCTGGAGGCAGCTACGCGAGCTCTCCGAGCCTGGGAGATGATGGCTCAGAAGAGGACAGCCGAGCTCATTGACTTAAGTCACTGAAATAGTCTATGTCCATGAGCACAAGGAGTAAGGTAGATGCTTGCAGGCTAGAAATCCTAAGCTTTCAGTCCCAAAACACTAAGGTCCTTTGCCAAGACCTCATTCTGCCAGCACACACGCTTGTTTCTAAGAACGAGTGCAGAAAGCATTCAGGATGGTGAGCGGCGGCTGAAGCACGTTTGCACTGAACACGCCTGACAGTTCAGCGTGACAACCATGCCAGTGCAGTCCGAATTTGCAAGCTCTGCTGGTGACCTGCGAAGAGGCTGGCTGCCAAAGCCCTGACTGCTTCACCCTGTTCCTGCAGGCAGGCCAAGGCAGGACAAGGCTTTACCAGCTCTTTCCAGTCAAACCCCAGGAACGGCCACCTTGCAGGAATAAACAAGTGCCAGGTTTGTACACTTTTTGGAAGTGATCTGAACAAAGATTTATATTTTCAAAGCAGCACTGATAGGCAGAAAACAATCCCAGACTTCTCCGTTCCCGCTACAGAGCACAATTTCCTGTAATTTGAGATAAATGTACACTGCCAGAGTTTCACTTGCTGCCCGCTCCGGTATCTGGCATTCGGCTCGCTGCTCACGCACTAGAATTAAATTTCCCTGTGTTTCTAGGTTTTCCAGGATGCAACTTATAAGCTGTTAGTCACAAAAGCTGACATTTACTAGATGCTCTCAGTAACGGGGCAAAGGTTGCATTTGATATTCCTGGGTGCTGTCAGATCACAAAGGGAAAAGAGATGGTTAAAAGGCTGAACTTCATCAAAGCATCTCAGTTCCGCCGGGCAGATGCGGTAATGAGCATGGTGATACTGTCAGGAGCGCACTCATGAGAGGACAGGGAATCTGCTCCATCAGGGTGGGGAGAGAAGCCACAGAGCTCACTTAAACATGTCCCTCATAAACCTGTCTATAATATTTGCATTAGGCAGGAGGGCTTGGAGCATAAGTAGAGAGCACCTAAGATTGCACATATTGCAGAGATTAACAAGAACGGGATGCGTGAACTGTACTACTCAAAATCCAGCAGCAGATACTGAATCCTTCCTTTTCAGTGCTGGCATCTGAAAAGCCTTTATACGATGCCTTCCCTCTGCTGGGCCCATCTCTAAGAGACAAAGGAAATCCGGAGCAAGCCTGCTCTTCCCAGCACGGCCCACGCAAAGGGCTGCAGACTGCCTCGGAAGCCATAAGGCCCTCGGAAACCGGCAAGAAGCTGGAAAGAAAGTGAGTTTTCTTCCCTGGGGTCCAGCTGAGAGGGCTGGTTGTCCCCTACCTCCTTCATCCAAACTGAAATGCCAGCTGTCACTTAAGAAGACTCTGTAGGGAGGAAACAAAATTAAGTACTCCTACCCTCTGGAAATGCTGAGGAAAAATAAAACATCTTTACACCATCAGATTAGACAGACAGAACCAACATGCTGCACTTTTGGTGAGAATTTAGGAACTTTTGGGAATTCAGATACTGGAAGAGAAGGAGTGTAAACAGTGGGGGGACTCATTTCCATAATAAATATCCCTCATGGTTCCCTCTCCATTTGTCATTAGATAAATGCACAACGTGTCCTAACTCACCCTTACTTTCCAGTGATCCTCTCCTACATTTTGCACAAATCAGACTGAATTCAGTCCTGAAGCAAGCAGGGACAACTACTGACTTTGGATGAGTTTCTCTCGTTTAGATCAAGGCCATTTACGTGGCCCGAGGCCAAAATAAACTACTACATTTCATTCAGTGATACATGAACTCTGCAGCGAGCTAATATTTACATCTATTAACTATGCTCATAGGAACATGCTCCTTTCAACTGTCTCCAAGAGCCACCAGGTCTCTGTTCCCACGAGCAATGTATCTAAGATTTCCATGCTCTCCCTGCTAGTAGGAAAATTCTGAGTTTATAGCTGGGTAGAGCGAGAAGCCCTGCACAGCGTGACTTACTTCTGGCTCATTCCAGGCTCTCCAGAGATCTTATCAGTAGAGACAGACGGACACAGAGCCTGTCAGATTACAGCAATTTCTCCAACACAGGAATGGGACTCAGATGACCACAGCCCTGGCTGCTCTCACACCATACAAAATACGAGGGGCCGTGGAAGGCAGCTGCACAGAGTTGAGGGCTGGTCAAGGGGAGTCATCACAACCTCCTGGATGCCCTGACCACGCCAGCATTTGCCAGCTGAGATGAAGGAAGAGGATTCTCCCCCTTTGCTAAAGAAATTGAGAGCTTGCACACACATTGAAGGAGGGGACTGTAAGGCAGGACAGTTTCTGCAGTCCAGCTCCGTTCCTGTGGCATATAATTATTCCAAAAAATTCAATTAATGCCACAGGATCTGATGGTTCGTACTACTAACACAGCACAGGGACCAATTCTTATGTACTAGTGCTGCTAGCACTGTGATGCTTTGCTTTAAATGGCCTGAAATCTGTGATATGCCTCAAAGAGAAAGGTCTTCCCACAACAGTCCTGTGGTCACACAATATTGTCATCTCCCCCCATTTCAGGGAGGATAACGTGATTCTGCCAGTGACACCAGAAAAAAAGCATTGCACCCATTCAGTCGCAGAGAGAGGGTGGGTTTTGCAATGCCCTAAGAACGTGATGCCACAGGATTACAACCCACCCCGGTCTTGCCAGGAATGGAAGAGTTTTCTCAGCCTTTTCCAGCAACCTGCTTCTTTGTTTTGTGACATCAGAAAGCATGTTGCCATTTTGCCTGTATATGATGCAATTCAAGTGGTATCTGATGAATTTCTTGCACAATTTGGCATCGCTGCACTGAAACAGCAGCATCTCTGGCTGCAACCGAAGGAGCCAGAGGTCAGAGAGTGCAAACCCCAGGCTGCAGCAGAGGGGTTCACCCAACTGCGTCCACCCAAAAAGGTCACAGACCTCACCAAGTTGTGGTGAATGGAGTTAAATCCAG